AAGATATTTGCCATATATTCTTGATACATTGTCTTACCTTGGACAGAGTAGCAGTCCAAAAAGCCCCCAGAACTCTAAAATGTTCGTAGGGAAAAAGTAGGTTGGGGCTTAAAAATGTGAGCTTTCTTTTGAACAAGATAAAATTGATCCAATAAAATAATTCAACATGATGTTGAAAGAGCGGGGTAACGTGTGCTGCACCACCTGCGGGAGGCCATCCCGCGCCAGCAGGCTTGCATCTGTGCAGCGTTCATTCTGGTGTCCCTGCAGCGTTGCGGCCTCTTCAGGGCAGGCCGGCACGCGTGCTTTATCGCCGTGCTTCTTACGAGTTAGAAGCCAACCAATGTGGATTTCCCTTGCAGAAACTTGATCTCTTTCCTCACAGCTTTTTTTCCTGGGGCGCGCACTACCCAACAGAAGACTAACATGAAGTTTAATATCACCTCATCTTTATTATTCCATTAATATATTTTATTTTCTAATTATGTGGAAATACTCATATCTCAAGAAAAGCACCTAGTTATGAAGTACTAGGAAATCCCTGTGTGAAACCCTGCAGAGACCCCTTTGTCATGTTTTCATAATGGTACTTGTCGTGCTCCAGTAAATGGGCTCATGGACTCACTGGAGAAAGACTGAGTCTAAGGCTTAGGCAGGGGAAGCGTGAGCTGACGCTGGAGCACACAGTGTCATGGAGCCAGGAAGAAAGAAAGAATGACAGGACATGGGATGCGTGTGCCAGACACGGCCGTGAGCAAATGACCAGTGTCCTACCTCACTAGGAAGGGGCGTCGCGCCCATGTACTTCTGGCTGTGAAGAACGAGGGCCTCTTGTTCAGAGGTGCGGAACTGACCGAAAACAGCACATAATCTCAAATTGAGGGACATTCCGCAAAACAGCAAAGCCATAATCCTTGTGAAGGTCTTGAAAATTAAGTAAGGGCTGAAGGACTGTGGCAGCCCAGAGGACTCGAAAGAGGCACAGCATCTACATTCCATATGAAATCCTGAATTGGGGCCTGGAACAGGCAAGAGATACTAGGGAAAACCTAGTGACAGCTGTCTAGTTGTTATTTAGAAAGGTTCACATTGCTACACTATTGTTTCACAATATGATAATCTCTCTGTGTGTTTGACATTTATTGATTTGTGTTTCTCAGAGGTAGAATGGTAAATCTGTAGTGATAGGAATTAAGAGTTTCCACTCCTTACTTTCACTTTCAGAAACGTGTGTGTGGCCAGGGACATAGCTCAGTAGAGTAAGCGCTTGCCTGGCAAGCACAAGATCCTGCGTTCCATACTCGGTACCACAACAACAACAATGAAGAAGAATTGTGTGTGTGTGTGTGTGTGTGTGTGTAAACATTCTTCTAACTTCCTGGGGCTGAGTCTGCCTGGATCAAGGTTTGCAGTCCGTGTCGCGGACCCGCTCGGCGTTCAGCGTGTGTGCGCCTCACCCTAGCAGGCCTGTCCTTGTGGGCTGCATTCAAACTCCCTTTTCAAAAAGTGTTCTAAGTTGTTCACTTATTTGTTTTACAATCTTAAAGCTTATATTATTCTGTCTACAGTGCAAAATTGTGATCAGAATCGGTGCATCTTTTTTCTATCTTCAGCTCCATTTGAATCCCATGAAATCTACACTTTGTACTAAACAACACACTGCAAAGCAAACTAAATGCTGCAGGGACTGCACACACTCTGCGATCTGCAGAGCTGGAAAGTCTGGGAAGAAGGGAAAACAGAGAGAAGGCTAATAAGTGCAGTGCAAAAGTTGTCTAACGCACAAACACAAACTGCAGTCCTTGTACACACCATTAAGTCAAAATGTCATTAGTATTAAAAAATAGTATTTTTAAAAGAAGATGAAGTCATGGAATAAATACAACTGTCCACGAATATGTGTCTGAGACTTTTAATACCAGCAGAGCCAAGAAGACATTGGAGCAGTTCAAATGGCACTCCAAAGGGTCCACGTATAAGTGCAAGCAGCAGAAGCGAGGCAATGTAGGCAACCCCAGAGCCGACGTGAATGCACAAACAGACGCGGACTTGATCAATATCCACCGAGAACACTTAATTTGCTTTTCTCTGGATAAGGATTCATTTGCATTGCTATTGATTTTCAAGACAGAATTATAAAACAGCCCAAAGACAGTGAAAGTTCAGATATCCTAGAAGGGTGTGCTGCTAAAAAGGGCATCAGTAGCCACTGCGTGACTTGCAATATCACTCATGATTTTACTGATGCTGTGTACGTATATCAGTGAGCCTTCCTTCGACCTTCACTAACCCACCCATTCATTTTCTTTTATGAATTTAATATATTTGCTAAGTATGAATACATACATATATGTATATATGAACGGGGACTATGTCAATTCCGTTTTTTTTTGTAACCCAACTGGCTTTTATTTTTTTTAATAATTTTATTAAGAAACAAATAACAATGAGACAGTTTCAAAACCGATTGGTAGGACAGTTTCAGTAATAAATACATTGCACATTGTTGTCTCAGGGTTATTCATTGTACAAGATGCAGACAGGACATCCTGTCCACAAACACGATTGGAACAAATCTTCTTATTCATTGAATTAAGAGAAAGTAGCTGTATATCTATCCTATTTTGGATATACAGATACAAAGTAGTCCTTCATTTGTATCCCCTTTTTGCTTAGTTTTGCCGGAGAAGAGTATTCCGTTGTCATTTAAACATTGTAGGTGAGTGAATTCAGCAAAATATTCCAATAGAGTCTAGTAGTCCACATGGCGGTGGGTCATCCGCAGGACTTATAAGGGCAGAAATCCAAGAGCATGAGGTTTGTCCTGCTGGCAAGCTATATGCGTGGAGGAGCCCTGGGTCAGAAAGCGTGCATCACAGCAGAGTACAGCAGCAACAACACATTACAGTGCTGAACTCCAGGGCTGCTGTCCTCATAGTGGAAGGAATGCAGCCGGACGCTCACCTGCGCATGCCGAGGGTCTGCATCACAGAGAAGGGCCTCAGACTTGAGGGCTTTTAGCTGCTGGATCTGCTAGAAGCCATGAGCATCCTCTCCTCTGGACAGAGACACTGTTCATTAAGCAAATTCCTCTCTTTAGGGAGGAACATTTTACCTTCAGGAGTCACCGTTCCTGCACCCCCAAGGCTGCCTGCTCCACAGATGCTCTTTACAGTGGCCTTTGCTCAGAAGGCCTGGATGGTCAGGAAATCTTGGGAGGCTCTCACAACACTACCACTGGAAAGACAGAGCTTCAGTTTCTGTACGCTGAGTTCAAATAATCACAATATGAGCTACTTACAATGTTTCTTCATACTAAAACTGGAAACAAAAAGAAGAAAGAGTACTATTACTAGGAGTTGGAAAATATTCTAAAGAATTCAAAATTGTAGGACTGAAATGTAAAAATTGTTCAAGTAATGTCTAAGCTGGTCAAAACAGTTTTGTTTTGTTTTTTACTTTTTGATGTGAAAGAAATAATATAACCATTGGAAGTGAATTTAGGAAAAGTTTTTTTTTCCAGTAGGTGGGAGTGTGGAAAGGTGAATGAGATATAATTCAGTTTTGTTTTATCCTAAAGCACCAGACCACAGAAAGCAGCAAGACAGGAGAATTAACAAAGAGGTAAAGCCACAGGGTGAAGAGCATGTGTGATGTGAGTTTGTTGGATGTTATCCTTTTGGCATATGGAAGATGTTGGTCAGGAAACAAAATCATGTCTTTAGGTTAGAAAATTTTTTTCTAGCAAAAAAATTTGTTCAGACAAGGGAAGCCAGGCCAGAAGGGAGACTGGGAAGGATTTCTCATTTCATGCATGATCCTAAAAATCTATGGTATAATGACATTTTGCTTGGTATGATATTATTTAAACAGATTATATTTATGAACATGTTCTTAGCTCTAAACCTGTCTTAATGAGACCATGGCAATTCTTGTGATCCCATTATAGATTATGCAAGGTAGGCTGGCCAGATAGCTCAGCAGATTAAAGCAGCTGTTTAGGCTGAGGCAGGGACTGGGACTCAATCCCTGGCCTGCTGTGTTGGCCCTGCCCCCAGGGCTTGCTGCGATGGGGACTGATCCTAAGCATGATGGCTTGTGGGGGGCTGAAAACAGGAGGATCACTCTGAGTCCAGTCTGTGTAGTGAGAACCTGTAGACCCTGCACTAAATAGATAAGAGCATAGATTAGGCAGGCACTAAAATTAGAATTTAAGATTCTTGTATCTGAGGAAATAAATGATGTGTATATCTTATATTTTAGAAGAAATGGATTTGCATAGTAAACCCCAGTTTTCTGTTACTTTACATAAATCTGATCACATTGTATCCAACTATAACAATTCTCAAAAAAAGAACAAATGGGAATGTAACTATACATGAAGAAATGTGTCTTCACTTTTAAATTTGACTGGAACATCAGATTAAAAAGCTCTATTTTCCATGATATATTTAATACTATTTTAACAAATAACCTGAATTTTATGGCTGGAGACAGACTCCATAGAAAGTAGCAAGTTAGACCGAAGGCATCTTGTCTTCTGCAGTAAAAAAAACACAGAAAATGTAAGACATCACAGAGGACAAGTTGCACCTTGCAATTCAATATTTGTTTTTCTCTGTCTCTCTCTGACTCTCTCTCTCTGTCTCTCTCTGTTTCTGTCTCTGTCTCTCTCTCTCTGTCTCTCTCTCTGTCTCTCTCTCTCTGTCTCTGTCTCTCTGTCTCTCTCTGTCTCTCTCTGTCTCTCTCTGTCTCTCTCTGTCTCTCTCT